GATGGCACACTCGCGCCCACACATGTAGTGAACCTGGTATGAGTTCGGTGGACCCCCCACCCAGTAGTAGTGACTATAAGGACTAATAAGGACTATGTCTGACTATGTTAGGGTCCTCTTGTATTCCCATTACGCCACTATTACAGGGTGGGGGGGGTCCTTTGAAGTATGAGCCATATCGCAGCTGCCATGCTTACAGTTGTTGCTGTGCTATATGTTTGTTGTGTTTGTTCTGAGCATTTGAACCCATCATCTTTGTACTCAAGATGCCGTCTTGTAGTGATTATTCCTGTTCAACTAAACCCTAAATAGCAGTTTCCATTTGATTTTCCATCATCCCCCTAAAACCCCAATATAACCCTACAGTTACCCCAATGGGTACAACCACCTGTTCCACCCATTTCACGTCTGGGGCCTGCTGCAGGCTTGAAGGCCATGAATGCCCGCAATGGCTTTGGCTTCGCAAACTGGCCCAACATCGAGAAGTACCCTTTCAACTTAGGCTACACAGATCACTGCAACTTGGACTCCATTGCAGATTGGGGCTCAATCGTGTTTAGGGTTTAGGGTTTGCCGCGTTAGGTTCCAACGAGCCGTTGGGAGGTGGATGGTCAGAAGAAGGAATTTTCAGGCACAGGTCTCCATTTCATTTTCTGTTTTCGTTTTCATCCGATTCTCCATTAATAGGGTTGTGGTAGTCCCTAGATATCTCTATATGCTCCTTTCAAAGGGAACTAGGATGTCCATTCATCTTTCATCTTTTCCATTCGGTTCTCCACTGTAGGAGTTTATATTTTCTTTGCCGACAGGGGTACCACATGGGCACCATTTCCAGACGCTTTGGGCTCTCGTCTCTCTACAGCATTCAACGGTCAGTAACGTGAATCAAGTTACCAAAGTCAGGAAACCTTGTCATGTACTACGCATCCCTATTGTTGTAGCTTAAGCTAGGTTCCTTAACAGTATGTTACCATGCTGCGGATGCAGCCTCCATGAAGAGGCTGCAGTGCGCTCAGGCGGTCGTCCTGCTATCTAGTTGACCGTGTCATGATTTGTGCCCTCGCAAGCGTGCCTGTTGCGGACTGCTACAAGTAGGGGGTATTGAGAATGCCCAGCTCATGAATGGCTTCAAGTCCTCAAGACCGAGACCAACCTTCCCAAGTCCGTTCTTGGGCCAGGGTAGGTTTTGCATCTGACGTCGCTGCGACATGCTAAGGTCCCAACTTCGATATCTTTACAGCACCCACTCCAGTGACGCAGGCAGGTCCTGGCTGTGTGCTAGTCAGGGTCCCCTTTGCCGGAACCAGAGAAATCTCGCGTTCAATGGACTGAACAGTGGCATTTGTTAGAGATTGCGCTTGCTTCATAGTAGTTGCAATCTAGCTAAGCGCAACATTGCTGCCCTTGTTCAGATAGCCAAGCATCAACAAATTGTTCGCCACCTGCAGTGGGCGGGGAGCAAAGGGCCCGATTGAAGATGAAAAGGCAAACAATATATGTGAGCGGCCTGATGCAAGCTCACAAGCCTAGCCCCATCACGCCTGCTAATTTACTGGGGATTGGCAGGAAATGGGAATTTCTTCTACAGGGATTATATAAAGCCACAAGACCTGGCAGCTCAATCCGAATGCCAGTGACCAACCCTCGGTTCTGGGTTTTTTAGGGATAATGGAAAAATTGGAAACTACAACAGTATATTGGGCTTATATTGGGATGATGGAAAGTAAGTTGGAAGCTACTATTTAGGGTTCAGGGTTTAGGGCTTGGCTCATCTTGTAGCTTCAATACGCTAATGTCCAAAGTCCACCCTTTGTCACGTTCTACGGAGCGCTACCCTAAACCCTAAACCCTAAACCCTAAACCTTAACCGGGTTTGTTTCGCTGAACAAAAGCGGGCCCTCTGGTGAAAACAGGTGCCTGATCTCACATAAGTAATTCTTTAGGAGGACCCCCCACCCTGGAATAGTGGTATAATGAGAATATACGAGGCCCTAAGATACTCCTCATTATCCCTTATGGTCACTATTACTGGGTGGGGGGTCCACGCAAGTAATTCTTTACGAAGTCAGCACCCATGTTTCCTGTCATTGGAGCTGTCTTCAGTGTCCGAGCCTTCCCCACGGTTGGGAAACCCCTAAACCTTAAATGGTAGTTTCCATTTTGTTTTCCATTTGTCCCAGTATAACCCCAATATATTAATAGTTTCCATTCTATTTTCCAGTATCCCTATATAATCCACCTAAACCCTGGAGGTCACGGACTGGCTCATCACCGCAGGGGTCTTCAATAATCCTACGGCAGGAGCGACCCGCAGCGATGGGATGCTTGCCTTGGAAGGGCATGGCTCACGATGCTAGGAGGCCCCTCTTTTACTGTCGAATGGAGGACATGTCCTATCCCCTCAACCCGGAACCCTTAATCCCAAGTCCTATAGTCCCTTTCAAGTAGATCGAATATGGCTTTGGGTATATTAGAATAACATGTCCATATACCCCATATTCTATCTACTTAAGGGGGACTATATACCTCCTAGGACTTACTGGTATCTGACGGGACCCCTAACTAGTGCAAGATGTCCTCCATCAACAGTCTCGCCTATCGAGAAGGTACCGTTTCGAGGGAGGCCACCAAGTCCCTAGGCAGATTCTGTGAAGGAAGCGGTATAGTCTGGCATATTCAGAGTATGCTTGTACAGTACCATACTTATAGTTTCTTACAGAATGTGATATTGTATTAAGGTAGATTTTGGTTGTTTATCCTCATGCCCCAAAATGCTGAACCATCATATTGTGGTAGATTATAGAAGATGTCCCCCAAATCCCTAAACCCTAAAGCCGAAACCCTAAACCCTAAACCCTAAGCCGAAGCTGCGCAGTTTTCAGCCATGGTCCTGTGCGCCAAGGAACGTGACGGCATGCTTTCCAATCAACTCAACAAGGCTGCGAACCCGCACCTATACCACAACAATGATGAATAACAGACGGCGCAAATATAGTAGTAATGCCAAAAAAGTTTACTATAGCTTATTACAGTATACTATGTTATTATAGGATAATTTCAGGACTATAGTTTATTAAAGTATACTATGTTTTACAGGATAATTTCATGCCATAACAATACTATAGTTTATTAACGTATTTTCTGAAATTATATAGTATATGATCGTATGTTCTAGTAGATTACCAGAATATATTATAGTTTATTACAGCATACTATGACATTATATGATATGTTTGTACATTATATTGTGGTACGTTATACTATAGTATATGATACTATGTTCTAGTAGATTACTGTAGATTACAGTAGATTATGTTCATCACTCCCTTTGCATGAAACCTCCCTTCCGCCTAGCAGTCCTCATATTCGCCATCTGCGTAGGATCCTCATTCAAGAAAGCTTTCCTTGCCTTGACGTGCAGGGCTGTGTGTCCAAGTTTGGACAATAATCCGCCCACAGTTGACGGCTTCAACGTTCCCTCGTACCCGATCGAAGAGTGCAGGACGTGCCTTGGCCAGGGTTAGACCTCCAAATTTTGAATATGAGTATTCTTTTATTTGGGGATACTATGGTACCCAATATAAAGTAAGACTATATCCTCTTTTGGGGTATCGTATCTTATATAAGGAATTAAGGAATATAATCTTACAGACCACTCATATGTTTTGAATAGTCTCAAATACTCCGGCAGCTACCATCAAGCTGCATTGGTTCCAGTTGCTGCTGCCCTCCCTAGCTGGAGGCGCCCCTGCATTTGGCAAAAAAACAGATTCAAGAAGGTTTGGGCATGGGTACTGCTCCAAGTCCTGAACAGTTGGATAATATTCATAACAAAATAACAATTTAGAGCCTTTACTATGACTCCTATTATAGAACGTTAATGGGTGAGGGCAGGACCCAAGTTTAGGCAGATACTCCGGCCCACCGCCCAGATCACTGCAAGCCAAGGTATTGCGTTTTGTGGGACCCATTGATTGATGGGCCTTGACTTATCAAAAACGGACGTGCTGCCTGAGCACTCTTCAGAGAGACAGTCCAGGGCGCTTTTTTTGGCTGCGAAGCGGTGATGCAACCGCATCAGCCATCATCTTTTGCATCTTTCAACTGGGGCCAAAGGTCCCAGCGCTTAATGCGGCTCCTGCATGCTTATAATTCAGTTTCCCAAGATGGGGGGACCCCAGGATATTTAATCCTAGGAAGCAAACGTACCTAAATTTTGGGAAGCCTCCTCATCGTGCGTCGCACAGAGAGTCCATGGTCACAAGGATGCTGGCTCAAGCGACTGCATGTTTAGCCCGGGGGAGGCCGAGCCGAGATCCGGCAAAAAAGGGAAATGGGAGTTTCTCAAAAAGCGGGGGCCCTAGGGACCCCAAGGGGTATAGAGGGATTATAAGGGGATTCTATAGGGCCCCCTTAAGGGATTATATAGGGGTTATATTGAGAAATACCCATTAGCCCAGTTTCATGGTTTAGGGTTGAGGGTTTAGGATTCAGCGTTAGGGTTCATGGAGAATCAAATGCAACAAAAAGATGGAGTATGAAATGGAAGCTGGGGGTGTGGCGGGGTTGCCTCAATTTCCTGCAGTGCTGCTTTGAAGAAACAGATGGGCGTAGTCGGCGCGATCCTGCCTCGCCATTTGGCACAAAAGCGCACCTACCACCAGTCCGCCTGAGCACAAGCACAGAGTAGGGTGGAACTGAACTTGTTTCTGGCCATGGCTCTTCAACAATAAGCCAGGGGCCCAGACCAATGCTTATAACCCATAGACCCTCATAAACCCCTACATACCCCAACATAATCGAAAATATCCGACAGATGTGTAGAGATCACCTATATACCCATAGATAAACCTATGAACCCAAAATATGAGGGTTTCCCAAAATCAGGGGTACCTGTTTTGGGGGTGCCCATAATAAGGGCTATAGTATTTTGGGGTCTATATTGGGGTCCCCCTATTTAAGGAACTACCATATCGCAAATAATCCCTTGGAAAGGTCGAATGTCAGACCTGGATGCAGCTGGGAGTCCCAGCATTGCACTTCCCCGTCCAGAGGAATCCGGCGCTCAACATCTGTGCCAGGACCCAGTCAAGCTGGAGCTTTGATGGTGAGGGTTAGGGTTTCGTGTTTAGTTAGGGTTTAGAATTTAGGTTTAGCTGGGACTGTGTCGTGGACAATGAGCTACTGTCAATATTGGGTTTATGAAGGGACCGTTGGACATAGAGGTTCCTCTGGTAGTTTAGTGCAGTCCCTAAGGACCCATGTCCGTTGATGCAGGTTATGCAAGGTAGAGAAGAGCTGTAAGCACGCAGCCGCACCAACTTTAAAGCATAGCCCAACCGGTGCTTTTGACCTGGAGCAAACAAAGTAACAAAGTGGTGTTGAGCCCTCCCGCCCCATGGACTGTGCCGCCTGAGTTTTCTGTCGGTTCATCTCGGAAACGCTATCTTTTGGACAGTATACTCCTGGGAAGACGTCGAAGCATGGAAACTGGTTCAAGTGAACTCAAGAAATCCCAACCAACTTGACCCACCACCACCTCGCCGACGTGATCGCCTGGAGTTGGGTGTGGGGTTGGTCGCCCAGCAAAACCCTATACAATGCCATGTATTCCTTGCATATTCCCTACATAATCCCCACAGAATCCGTACATGATTCCTATGTAATCCCTATGCAATCCCAATATGATCCTTATACAATTCCCAGACAATGAGAATGCATCTTCTGAAAAGTTAGACGCAACGCCAAATGTGCCTTTTGCCAATTCACTGTCGCTTATGTTTCTCAACCACTGCACAACCCCAGTTTCCATTCATTTCCCCTTACTTTTCCGTTTGATTCTCCTTTGCAGGGGTAGTCGCCCTACATATCCCCATATCCTCCCTATGTAATCCCTCTTTAATCCTCATGAACCTCTTTTGTCGCCGGCTACACCAGCGCTCGGGTCAAGGCTGCCGTTCCGCTTTTTGAGGCTCTGGCCGAGGTAGGTGATGCCCAGGTTGGGGTCCGCTTGCTGCGCTCGTGCGCCGGGTATGCCCGCATCGTGCATAGCATGCGTTGCTCTCCTCCCGCTTGCCAGCAGGATGCGTTGAAGCAATTTGACTCGCAGGTTTGGGGCTGCTTTGCCGGGGTCACGGGCCTCCACCTCAATTCCGCTCAGCAGGAGCAGGCGTCAAGGGATTTTTCCCACGCCGGCCTTGGCCTTCGGTCGGCCGCGCGTGATGCTCCTGCCGCTTACCTTGCCTCAGTCGGTGGCTGTGCCGGGGCATGCCAGGAACTTGACTCTGCGTACGGCTCGGCCCCCTTGGCAGCAGACCCCTACGTTGTGCAGGCGCTCGCCTCTTACAACAGTGCCCTGCCGCAGCCGCAGCAGCCAGAAGCTGCTCTCGCCGCTAAGCAGAAGGCCCTCACCTCCGCCGCTGACGAAGCAAGTTGGCAACAGCAACTGTCTGCGTCTACCGTCACTGGCAGGGCCGTGCTCCGGTCAGAGGCTGAGCCTGGCGCTCGGTCCTTTCTTGCTGCCATCCCGGGTGGCCGCACCCGCTTGGAACCAGCAGCTTTCGTCATTGAGTTGTGTCAGCGACTCGGAGTGCCAGATGCTAGCAGTGATGCATGGTGCCCTCAGTGTCAAGGCGTGCTTGACCGCTTCTCCCTCCATGCCGCCACCTGCGTTGCCGGAGGCGAGCGCACCCAGCGCCATCACGCATTGAGAGATGCCCTCTGCGCCTGGGCTGAGCGCGCGGGCATGCAGCCAGAGCGGGAGCGGCCTGGATTGCTGCTCCCCCAACGACCCGAAGATGCGCGCCTCGCTCAGAGACGCCCCGCCGACATCTATCTGCCAAGCTTGAAGGGTTCTCCCACCGCACTCGACCTTGCCATAGTGGCACCGCAGCGGCAGGAGAGCCTGGGGCAAGCGGCGCAGACTGCTTTGGCAGCCGCGTCTTCCTACTCTCGCACCAAGGAGTCTCATTTGGACACCGCCCGCGTTTGCTCCCAGCAGGGTGTCCGCTTCCAGCCCCTTGTTGCCGAAGCCTCAGGCGCTTGGTCGCGGGAAGCTGCATCTGTGTTGCTTCTAATTTCTCAAGCTGTTGCAGCCCGCCAGGGTGATGAGTCCTCCGCGGTCCACGCCCGCATGTTGCAGGAACTCTGCGTCATCACGCGCCTGGACCGGGCCAGGGCCATTCTCCGGAGGCGCTCTGAGCTTGAAGCGTCTGCCAGTGTGGCGGCGTGATGCCGCAGCCTCCTGTCCTCGTCCCTTGCATTCCACGGGCCTCCGCTTGGGCCAGTCAAGCGCACTGCTGCTTCCCTTGGCTGCGATTCGGTCTCCTTCCGAGCTGTGCAGCACAGGGGCTCCTGCACTGGGCCTGCTTTCGCGCCTTTTCCCGTCAGTGATTGGAGCTGTGCAGGGGGGTAGGACGTAGGCGTAGTGCCTGCTACCGACTTTTTTCCCCAGGGTTGACCGAAGGCGGGCGGTTCTGAGGGGAAAATCGGCCCTGTCGCCTCACTTTCTTCCTTGGAAACGCCGGCCTCAGCGGCCCCTGTGCCAGAGACAGAGCCTATTCGAGCGGTAGCCCTACAAAGGTCAAGGATTGCTGTTTTCCGCAAGGGCTATGCTGAGTCTTTTCTAGGGCTTTTTGCCGACCTGGCCAGCTGGCTTTCCGACAGCACTGCTAGTTGGAAAAAGTGAACTCCTTTTCTCCTAAATTCCCACCCGGCCAACTTAGGCCGTTCCCACCCATTACCAGGGTGGTAAGACACTAGAGAAACACGTCAGCCCATACACCCGTAAGACAATGGGAGGAGCCACAGCTCTAGAGGCCAGGCCCCTCCAAGCGGGTGGGGATTCTGAAGAAAGCCCAGCTTCGATGGCTTCTTTGCCGCTCACAGATCCCTGGAAGTGGAGCCCTGCGCAGGTAGACGCCTTAAACCCTAAACCCTAAACCCTAAGAACGTCTTGGCTGCTCGACAGGATGCCGAAAGCCTCGAAGGCCAGAGCACCTTGGCTGTTCGCTGTAAAGGTCTAGGAAGTGGATATTATAGGGCTCAGGGTTTAGGGTTTAGGGGGGTTTAGGATATTGTAGGGGTTATACAGGGATAATGGAACATAAAATGGAACCTACTACTTATGAAGGGGCCTGCGAACGTGGACAGCTGCCCAGCTATCGTAGCTTTGATGAAGGATTGGACAGGGAAATAAACTCATTCAACATTGGGGGTTGTGCGCTGTGGGGATCCATCCCTTCATTCCTGCAAACCCCAAAAAAGTTATGCTAACTATGTCAGTCTAAGCACTTGTCGCACCTTGCCCGCTTGCAAACCTGTAAACCTGTGCAAAACGGGCCCTCTCCCCACTTCCAGGTTTCTCCCACAAATGCGGTCAGACAATGAAACCAAATATGATTGTCACAAAAGAGCCATGAAGCCACACAACCCCGAACGCGACATTTGTAATGGAATATGTTGAGGATCGGGTCGTGTTTACTTCAATGGCCTCTCTGGTGCCTCTGCTGCATTGACGAAGTCCCGGTCAACCTCAGCACAGTTCTGTGAGGCCGTGACTCATAACCGTGACATGCTATGGACAGATGCACCCTAAACCCTAAACCCTAAACCCTTGAGATGAAAGTTGCCCTTTGCGCTTTTGGTCCATGCGGTACACATGTCTGAGGACCTCTCGACCCAAGCATGGACAAGATGCGACATGGTTTCAACAGTTGCAAGCCTAAGCAGGCCTGGTTAGGCTGGCCAGGTTCAGCGCCAGCTTCTTACATGAAGGTAAAAGATGCTTCACGAAATCTTGCACGCTGAGATAGTGGTTAGGCCTTTGCTCAATGTGCTCTGCATCTCAGCCTGTCTGAAACCCAGGACACTGCAAGAGGCTCCTTCGTGTCTTTACGGTGTCCGATTGCATCTCGACATGTTATATGGCAGTTTCCCCAAATAGGGGGACCCCAATAAAGATCTCAAAATACTATAGTCCTTAGCACGGGACCCCCCCAAAAGAAGTCCTAATTTGGGGAAACCCCTATAGGGGTTTGGAGCGTAGCTGCAGTTCTACTGCTCCACAGCCTGCAAGCTTGAGACCCAAAATGAAACCCTAAATCCTAAACCCTAAACCCTTAAACCCTTAAACCCTAAACCCTTAAACCCTAAACCCTAAACAATAAACCCTCAACCCTATAAGCCCCTAACTCCAGATTCATCTCGGGGCTGCATGAGGGACATGTGCAAAAAAGATCTGGGATTACAGGGGTCATACAGGGATTATAGGGGTCATACAGGGATTATAGGGGTTATAGGGTTATATGGGTATAACTGCAAAGAAAATGGAAACTTTAGATCCCTTTAAAGGGATGTATCGGATTGCATAGGGATGATATAGGGATAATGGAAAGAAAATGGAAGCTACTATTTGGGGTTTTATTCCGTAGCCTCTTGAACCAGGCCTTGCGCAGCGGTTTGCCAGTTTTTGAAGTGATCTATGAAGTTGTCAGATGTGTCGCTGAGTGAGGGCTAAGTTCCAGAGCCACAGAACAGCGTTTTGTGCGCTTGTGGCCGTTATTGTATTCTTTTTGCTTCGCAGGTTCGGCAGCTTCGTCTTATTCCTAAGCTTGTTTTGAAGTCTTCGGCAGCTAAATCGGACAATGCGGGCTAGATCACACCTGAGGGTACATGTGTTGTGGTCAGACTGCTTCCTGAGTCAATGGACACTTTGCCACTCAAGTCTGGTTGGCTTGGCGAAAGGCTTCATGCTAAGATGTATTATTAGACGGGATAGCTGCCACGTCATAGGCTTTATCGTAGGACATTGCTGGGTCATGTCGGCGGAGTGTGAGGCACTTTCACCAGAAGCGCGGGGTGTCGTTTTTTGCAGCCCTGCGCTCAGTCAAGTGACGAAGGTAGTTGGGCTTTGGGATTGGGCTTTGAGTAAACGACCTTATAGGGACAGGTCAAAAATGGCGCAGGGTCAAAACTCACGCAACATCCGGGCGTTGTCGCTTTGGAATTTTCAGCAGCTTTGCAGGCCTTTGGGAGGGTGTTGGAGAAATGGTGTCATATCCACCCAAACCCTAAACCCCAAATAGTAGTTATAGTAGTTTCCATTCTCTTGTCCATCATCCCAATATCATCCCTATGCAACCCTGTACATCCCTTTACAGGGACCTAAGGTTTCCATTTTCTTTTCCATCATCCCCATATAGCCGCCATATTCCATCTACTTGAGGGGCTCACCTAGACTCCGCTTATCTGTTGGCTTGGAGAGCTGAAGTTTTGCCCTAAATTTTTATAAACTTTAAACATCTAAACCCAACACCCTAAACTCTAAACCCTAAACCCTACCCTAAACCCTATGTGAGAAGCTGGTAGCCCTGAAGGCAAGCGCGTTGCATTGGTAGGGGCAGCCTGATGAGTGGCTGTACTCGCCCGTGCGGGTGGGCATATTACATTGACCAGGTATAAGGTCATACACAGGTTATGAGCGCCCAAGTATCGGGCTGCTGAGCACAACACCCCTTGGTAGTGGGCTTGGTGGTTGTGGCCTAAGGCTGTGGGGGGTTACTTCATGTCGGCTGCTGAGAGACTCGGGCACAGCGGGCGGCTTTTGCCAGGGCGGTCGGGGTCATGGGTGGCATCACAGCATGGCATTGCCAATGGTTGGGGGCAATGAACGCCTAATGGAGAGGCCCGGTGGCGCAAACCTTCCCAGCCATTGCTGGTGGTTGTTGGGCCAGGGGGAGTTACGGCAGGGAGCACTCCTTCGCATAAGCGGTGGAGCGGGGGGAGTGTGAGAAGCTGGTAGCCCTTAAGGCCAGCGCGTCGCATTGGTAGGGGCAGCCTGATGAGTGGCTGTACTCGCCCGTGCGGGTCGACATATCATATTGACCAGGTGTAAGGTCCTACACACCTTAAAGCCCTAAACCTTAAACCCTAAACCTGGGGGTGAGATGAGATGCCAGAGATTTCGCCTGTCTTAGGCACATATTAGGGGGGGTTTACGGGTTTAGGGTGAATCAACTTTTGGCTTACAAACGCAAGCGCTTTGAGACTTTCGGGATTTGAAGTTTAGGATTCAGGAATGGAAAAAACATGGAAACTGTTATACAGTTATGCTGGAGATACTGCGGGGTGCCGAAATTTCGACCACCCGAAGATCACAGCCCAGGTCTCACGCAAGTAGCAACATGACATACCCCTCTCCCCCGTAGACTCCTCCACAAGGGTCTCCAGGCCTCCTCCGGAATGAACATGTATTACATTTTTAAAACGTACATAAATTACACCGCTAGCCTGGCCAGTGGAAATGAGCCTTTCAGGGATTCCGCTCCTCCGCAAGACCCGTTTAACACGTAGTCCTTGAAACTTAGGTCAGTAGCTCGAAACTTTCGGAGCGCCGCTGTATATACGGCTGTTACTGTTCAAGCTGCTGGAGTTTCTTCGCTTCTGCAGGTGAAAGTCTTCATTTCCAGCAGGGACACAGAGGCAAGCGCTGCTACGGTCCACAATTTATACAAGGGCTACATGGGGTTCAGGCATATGATCCCCATAATGGAGAACTAAATGCAAAAGAACATGGAAAAGAAATGGAAACAGTGGTGATTTGGGCGTTCCCAAAATTAGGGGTACTTGGTTGGGGGCCCCTGTAGAAAGGATCATGGTATTCGGGGGTCAATTTTGGGGTTCCCCTACTTTTACAAGAAACAGGCTCGCGGGATATGAATGCTCCGCTAGATGTTGAATTGTGGATCGCTATATTCATCCTTATATAATCCCCATATACGTCTCTTCTCTCCAACACTTAACAATCCCTATAGAATCCCAATATATACCACTAAAGTAGTACTTATCTTCACCCCAGCACTCCTAAACCCTAAGCCCTACACCCTATCATGGTACCTATCTTCACCCCAACACGCCCCCCTAAGGGACCTGTAGGATGCTCCTGACATCCACTGCCAGCAATCTGCAGCTCAAAGCCTGCGACAGAAGCCTTGCCAACACTGAATTAAGTTATCATATGGGTATATATGCGGATCTTATTATAGTTTACCCAAAGCCATGTTCTTTCTACCTGGGGGGGACAAATAATGTATGTTAGAATATGGGTATAGAGATGAATATAGCACATAATTAATGGGGTTTCGTTATTCCAGCAACTTAACTTAAGTTCCTTCACAGCAAGCCAACCCTAAACCTTAAACCCCTAAACCCTACACCCCTAAACCCTAAACCCCCAGAATACTGTTGCAGGTTATTGACCGAAATGCCACCTACACTGACCTTGGGGAGCCGGAGGACCCGAGCAAGGCTGCTGCAAACTAGGTCGTTGCCACCAGCAAAGTGGTATGAGCTTGCCAGGGGCTGAAAGTCCACAGATGCACGTCAATGTCATGCAATGTGAGTAGACCTCGCAAGGACTTCTTCGTTGTCCTGGCAAACCCTGGCACAGAGAAAGCAAAGGATCTTTTCGATGCTGCGGAGGCCGGGGCAAGCCAAGTAATTAGGCGGCAGCGACCTCCTGACTGCAAGCCAAGCACACAGAGCTTCAACTGCCGAAAATCAACGCTAGCTTATTGGCGGGTTTACTAGGGAATAAGGGAATATATCAT